TTCACTGGAATTTTTATTGCTGATTCCTTCACCTGCTTGCAGTGTTTGCTCAAATGTCACTTTACCAACAAGACCTATCCTGATGGCCACCTTCTTTAAAATTGCAACTATTTTGTTTTAATTTTGTTTTACATTCTTCCCAGAGTACTTTGTACAGTATGAAATAAATTTTTATAATTATTACTGCCTGGGTTATTGCCCAATGATGTAAGGGATTCTTGTATTAAGTTCACTGATACAGCCCAAGTAGGTACTCAAACTCTTTGGATTTTAGTTATAATCTAGCCTACTCTCTTCATTTTACAGGTAAGAAATTTTAGAAATAAGCTGAATCAAGGTTACCCATGGCTATGAAACTGAGTGAATAACAGAAATTATGCCTCTCAGTCCAGTGCTCTTTTGAGTACAGCTCACTATCTCTCTAATCCTAGAACATTACCAAAAAAAGTCATAATCACCCACATTTTCCTCCAGGATGATTTACCTTTGGAATTTCTTGTCCTTGCAAATGCTGCTGTGTCTGAAATACAGAAATGCTCTGACAAGCAGTGGAAGCTTGTACTGGAATACTAAGTGTCAGAAGATAAAGATAAGATGGCTGACTTGGAAGGGCTATCCCAGAGTTTTGATGCCAGGTCTGCTACTGTAGTTCTACTTCTGATGACCCAGAAATGGGTGCTAAGCTCAAAAACAGCTGCCACTGGGGCTGGCCAGTAGACTTGATGCATGCAAACTGGTACTGTACTATTTCTTTTTTCCTGTAGCGAAAATGTTTGACTACATCTAATGCCTGAAACCTTGAGACTGCTCTAAAAGCTGTATTACACATTGCTGTCCCATTGCCATAGGTTGCAACTGTTCTTCTAAAGGAGCTATAATCTGGAGCATGTTTGGAGAAGTCTTTTGAATATATGGTAATAGCTGAACACCACACTTATCCAGATAAGTGTGTTGTACAGAGTTGGTTAGGTGCCTGTGAAAGATTGCAGTTGATTTATGGAACCTTCCTGAGTAGACAACTGATAGGTTTTTTTGTACTTGTGTATGAGATAAATGACATCTGGTGATGCAGAATGAAAGCTGAGTGAGAAACCTGACTTGAGGTTAGATATACAGTAATTGGGAAAGCTGTGTTGAAAAATGAACAAGCTGGATCAGGGCCTGAAAATGGGCCTGCTCAGTGAAAGACAATGGCGCAGGATGCTGAAGTTGTCCTTCACTGCTCTCTGAGATCTGCTACTAGTTGACTAAGCCTGAGTTTTTAGCTCTTTGTATCCAAAACCAATGTCTACCTGGGATGGTTCCACTAAATGTTGGGTACTAAATAAAGGCTCAGTAGAATGTGTCTGTGTTAAATATATGTTTTGTTCCAGTGTTAAAGAACTGCTACCTCCAGACTATGTTAAATAAGCTTGTTTAGAAGTAGACCTTGCTACATAAGGTGGTACAGAATATAACTTCTGATCTGCAGAGTTTGTAATGGGTACTTGCTTGCTATGAAGAGGGTTTACTGTACAGTATATACTTGCTGAGTTATGAAAGTTACCTGTTCAGTTGTCTGAATAGTGTAAGCAATTTTTCCTGAGAAACATTTTTAAGAGGCAGTGTCTGACAGACTGATCCATAGATTGCACATCTTCAGCTCCCTGGTGTGGAAAAGGTGAGTGAATGGGAGATTGTACAAGATAAGCAGGGTGCCCTTGGGCCAGTGTCAAATAAGAAGACTGTACTGCAGTGGGATTGGATAAGAAGTCTGCATGGAATAGGCCGGCTGTGATCCCAGTGGTTGTATAGTGTAAAGTGGATGTTCTGGGGCTGGAAGTGAATAAATATGATGTGCTGGAGTGTGAATTGGGTAAGTTGGCTGTGGTGAATAAGAAGTTTGCTCCTGGGGTTGTATCACAAAAGGTGGCTGCTCAGGAGCCATCACTGGAGAAGGTGGTAGTTCTGTAGGTGGCCTTCGATAAGTGTGTTGTACAGAGTAACATGGCCACTCCAGGGGCTAAATTACACTTTCAATACCAGCCTTTGGCTACTAATGACTTGAAAGAGCATCAGACTCTTGAAAAATAAAATCCTGCTGAACATTTTTCTGTGAAGATGCCATAATCTTATGATGTAAAAATATAGTTAAAGGCTGCTGCTGAATAGAAGCTTGGAAACAGGGCTCTTTCAAATGTATGATCTAGCTTTGTGATGCTGAAGAAGCTAGAGTTCTAGATCTTGAGTTCTAGACTCTTGATGCTCCACGGTTAGGAAATTGTATCTTTTGTGAAGGCTGATAGGCTCATGAATGCCTCCCAATGAAATGGAAAGGACCTGAGCTGTACCAGCAGCACTATGTGCAGTGCTCATATATTAAGCAGAATAATGATCGAACAAAGCTTGGGAGTAATTAACCAGTAAGAACCTAGAACTCAGATTGGCATCTGGTGCTTTAGATAATACCTAATTCCCAATTCTAGGACCAGACTCAAGTTGTTGGATGCAGGGAACTCATCTAAGAAGCAGGAAATCTTTAAGGAGAAATTATAGAAAGGAATTATAGTGTACAATTCTAATAACTGACATGTCTAAAATCATGGGTTGGGCTGAAGTTTGCTCCAGGGACCAGCTGCAGTTCCTGGTGCTAGTGCAAGGCAAATTCACATTATGAATGCATATACCATGCCTATTTTAATAGGACTTTTTAAGAAAGATTGATAAAATAATGCTATATTCTGAAAATTTCATCAAGTTAGTAAAAAGATGCCAAATATACAGAATTAGTTTCAAAAATCCTAACATAAGTAAATATTAGCTGAATATATAAAGGGGCTAAGGCCAGTGCCAGCAATATACTGCTCATGGCTTCTCATTTATTGCGCTTACCACATAATTCACTGAAACCCGGGCAAAGATTCAGAGTAACTGAATCTGACTATCAAGGGCCATTCTATATAATTTTGGGGGAAAATTATTTCATAATTAAATTGTGATTAGGGCTTATCCGAGGTCTAGTATCTTGCCATGTGAGCTGGTTAAGCTATGCAGAAACATAACTCTGTGTGCCTCTGGTCACAGTTAAAGCCTCAATGGTCCCCAGGTGCTGTGACTCCTGGGCAAGATTACATCAGCTGAAGACATCCTGGTTTCTTGAGAACCAAGTAGTAATTTTTTAAAAAGGGCTTCACCAGGGGAAAGGCAAACTTCTTATTAACCTGCCCTCTCTCCCCACCATCCTCATCAGCTTAAGATCACTGCCACCCTCTGAGTCATCAGAAGTGATCCTCATCAACATAAGATCTACTGTCTTCTATTTCTTTGCTGAAAGAAACTGTTAATGAGTCCTTGACTGATCAATATTGCATGTCTCTATCTGTTTTCATGAGAAACCACTGTGAAGATATCAATATGTAATACAACAAGCATTAATTTCCTACCACTTTGTTTGTAACTCTGTATTGTCTGTACTGTTCTTTTGCGATTTTGTAAAAGGTTGTCTGTTAATGTTTTCCTCCTTTTATTTTTAAAATTTAAAAAAAAAAACATAAGATCTTCATTAGCATAAAACCACGGCTGCTCTCTGAGTCATCTGATAATCCCCTCATCATTTTCCTCAATGTAAATGTGATCAATAAATATCAAGGTTCCGGCTGCCTTGTGGCCTGTTGCTCCCCATAAACATCTGGCCATCCCAGATCCCTGTTGCACTGCCATTTTGCCTCCTGCTCTTTCTTTTCACCATATACCATAACACCTTGTAGGAGAAAGGGGTCCACTGCAGGGTTCCATAATATCTGATACTTTCACATACTAAATAGTGGAATTCCCAAGAGAAAAAGCAAAGGATTTCAGTATGATAGCTATCATGAGTGCAAATTCTCTCTCAAGAAGAGGAGCGAGCTGGCTGAAATAAATATGGGTTAGCTGTAACAATTTCTAGAGCTCGGGCCACCATGTTCATAAAAAAGACCCAGATAGTCAACGTGCTTGTTTATGTGGGTTCTATATAGTACATGCAAGGGCAGGCTACAAAAAATAGTATGTTTGTAATATACACATATCTATAAACAAAAATATAGATTTGTACATAGAAAAAAGACAAATCTAGAAACTGTCTTCTAAAAGTAGTTGTTCTAGATAAAGGGACAACAGGTGATTTCCAGTTTCTTCTTTATAACTTTATGGGCTCTATTTTAAGTAAGCAAACAACACTTTTATAGTAATTTTTAGAAAGTGATAGTTGTTAAGTTTGTTGATTAACTGGAAATGAATATATACCAATCTCTTAAAAGAAACACATACTGTACCAGCTATTGGCTAACTAGAGAATACCCAGGAACTTAGACTATCTTATTTCCAGAGAACAAAAGCACATAAAGGGAGTTGTGGAGATAAAGAGATAAACAGTGTGAAGGCAAAAAAAAGGCCAACCATGTGTTAAGAGTCTATAATTTAGGCAACCAGAATGTACTCTGGATATATGACCTCACACAAAGACTATTTTATTCATGGTCAGAAATGAATAATGCCGACTTTACAAGTCTAAAAGACAAAAATTCTTCTTATTTATCCTACAGAAGTAAACCTGAACCAAAAACAAGTCAAGAATGTAAATGAATGTGCTGGAAATTATTACAGACTCTGAAATACTATTTCAGATTAAGTGCAACACATATTCTTCCATATTCAAACCAGGCTGGAGAAGTTTGATACAAAGAACAAACTACTATTACCAAGAAGAGAGCAGAGTCCTAAATAAATCTTTTGTCCATAAACTCAGTTTCCTATTGCTTCTTCAGTTATATAAGTAGTGTTTCCAGATTATAACTATACAATGTTAGGCATATTCTCAAGAGAAATTTCTTGGGTAAAGGAAAACATAAACAAATTTTAGCTTTCCGTGACTTTTATCTAGACTATGATGAATTTATGAAAGAGATAAATTGCTTCTCAGAAAAATCTAGGCAGGATTAATTTGTTTGAATAAATACAGAGCCTATAAAAATGTATCCTACCTTTATCTGTGAGACCTTCTGGACAGTTAATGGGGAAACTTGGGGCTGTGAAACAACTGTAGGTCCAAGGACATGTACAGGCAAAACAGTGGACTGACCTTGAACCACAGGCAAAATCTGGGGCTGAGTCAGCTGTGGACGCAACTATTAAGATAAAAAGATTAAAGGTAAATTATCCCAGTTATGATAAATATACTTTCTTGAGACAGGGTCACGCTATACAGTTCAGGTTAGCTTTGAACTCACTATGTAACCCAGGCTGGCCTTGAACTCTCAGCAATCCTCCAGCCTCAGCCTCCTGAATGCTGGGATCACAGGCGTGTTGCCACCATGCCTGGCTAATATATGTTCTTTTTGTCTTTTTGAGACAGGGTCTCACTATGCAGTTCAAGCTGGCCTTGAGCTCACTTTGTAGCCCAGGCTGGTCTTGAACTCACAACAATCCTCCTGCCTCAGTCTTCCGTGTGCTGGGATTACAGGCGTGTGCCACCACACCCGGCTTAACATACTATTATATACTTAAAATATAATAGTTCTCCTCACCCCTGAAATTTGCTGGCAATGTCCTACTAGTTGCTGGGATGGATAAATTTGCCCTGGAACATTTATGTCGGCTTGCAGGATGTTGGAAGTCATTTGAGAGCTCATCATCTGGTTTGAGGAATAGGGTAAACTGGGCTGGCTTGAAGTATCTGAATGTATAACTGATCCAGCTTCTGCTTCGGACAAATTATCACCTATAGCAAATAAAACAAGCAACAGGTAGAAAAGAACATTTGAAGCACAATGTCTAAATTGTATAGATAACAATAAATGTTTCTTTAATGGATATTATTTTTACCCTGACAAACAAAAAGAACTTCAAAAAGCATGTACACTGAAGAGCAAATCAGAAACAATCATGTGAACTCTATATTAAGCAATGAAATATTGACAATGTAGTTCAACTAAAATTTCCTTCCCTCACTCATCCTTCCTTCCTTTTCTTTTTCTCCCCTCTTCTCTCTCTCTGCCTCCGTCTCTCTTTCTCTCCCTCCCCCACCTCAAGCCTGGTGATAGAATCCAGGGCCTCACATATGCTAAGCACACAGTCCGCTACTGAGCTACATCTTCAGTCCTATACTTTTCTTCACAAAACAAAACCTAAAAACAAAGAATCACATACAAATTAACTCTATTTGCTAACCATTTCATGTATCTCCCTAACTAAACTATACTTACCATTACAATTTCAGTAAAATGTGTCATAATCTCTTCCTCCTAGAAACTGGGTAGAAAAACTATGTATTTTAGAATAATTGCTTATTACTATGCAAATATTGTATACTTCCAGAGAAAAGAATGCATTATAGCAGGAAAAAATAGAGTACTTTTCTTGGTGATACTGGGGATTGAACCCAGGACCACTGAACTGAGCTGTACACTGCTCTTTGTTATTTTTTGAGAGAGGGTCTCACTACATCACTAAGATACCCAGGCTGGGCTTCAATTTGTGATCTATATGCCTCAGCCTCCCAGAGTTCTGGGATTACAGGTGTGTGCCTCACAAAAAATAGAGGGCTTCAAAATGATAAAGTCTTAACATCTACAAAATTCCTTCTTGAGGAATAAATGATATCTTTAGCTCTAAATTTTCTTTGCTAAAGGATTTAAATTAGACTCTTGAAAGTGTTAGTAAGGAGCTGGGGATTTAGCTCAGTGGCACAAGTGCCTGCCTGGCAAGCACAAGTTCCTGAGTTTGATTCCGGGTACCAAAAAAAAAGTGTTAGTAAGACTAGGAGCATGCCTATAATCTCAGCACTCGGAGGCTAAAGCAGGAGGATCGCCGTGAGTTTGAGGCCAGCCTGGGCTATGTAAGTGAGTTCAAGGCAAGCCTGCACTACATAGTGAGACCCTGTCTCAAAAACAAAAACCAGAAGTGTTAGTAAGGTCTGAATGTCGTGGCAAACACCTGCAATCCTAGCTATTTGGGAGGTCGAGACAGGAAGATTATGAATGATGGACTACATAGTAAGATTCCTATCTTAAGACAAAAAAATATAAAAATGGCTGGGGATGTAGTTCAGTGGTAAAGTGCCTACATAGACACTCTATTTCAACTCCCAATATCAAGTAAACTTTACTTTTTCTCTGAATAAAAATAGTGAATGCAATCCTTATGTAACTCACACCTTGGAAAAGACATTCAATGAACAATTTTTAAGTTGTTTTTTTTTTTTTTTTTTTTTTTTTTTTGAGACAGAGTCTCACTATGTTTCTTAGTCTCAAATTCCTCGAGTCAAGAAAACCTCCCACCGGGGGCTGGGGATTTAGCTCAGCGGCAAAAGCGCCTGCCTGGCAAGCGCAAGGTCGTGAGTTCGGTTCCCGGTACCGGAGAAAAACCAAAAAACAAAAAAAAAAACAAAACAAGAAAACCTCCCACCTCACCCTCCCAAGTGGCTGGGACTACAGACATACATCACTGTGTCCAGCCAGAACAATTTCTTAATTTTATTGTTGTTTTTAAAATTTTTTTTGGTTTTTTTGAGACAGGATCTCGCTATGTAGTTCAGGCTGGCCTTGAATTCACTATAGAGCCCAGGCTGGCCTCGAACTCATAGCGTTCCTCCTGCCTTGGCTTCTGGAGTACTGGGATTACAGGCATGTGCTTTTGCGCCCAGCTTTCTCGATTTGATTTGATTTCATTTCATTTTTTGGTTTTCTGAGACAGACAAACCTGGCCTTGAATGCACTATGTAGCCCAGGCAGGCCTCAAATTCACAACAATCCTCTCTGCCTTGGTGTTCCAAATGCTGGGATTCCAGGCGTGTGCCACTGCACCTGGCCCAGTTTTCTCAATTTTAAAATAAGGATACTCACCCTATTTCAGAGGTTTTATGAAGAGTTTAAAGAACTGATAGATAACAGAACACTTTGAAAAACACAGAATGCCACTTAAAGACAACTTGATTTTTCAAATTGCATCTGTTTTTACCTCTAACAGACAAACAATCCTGCTGTGGTTTTCTTTGTAGAAGCTGTTGCTTAACATGCTGATCAACTTCAGTTTCTTCACATTCAACCCTGGTGTACTGCGCAGGGGCAGGGGGCACAGTTGTAGTTTGATGCTGAGTCAATACCGTTCCCACAGACTTGCACTGTGAATCTTTGTGTTCTTCCGAACAACCAGCAGGCTTCTTCTCTCTAGACTTTTTTATCAGGGTCACCCGGTCTCTAATGGATTTAGCAACAGCTTTGGAATCACTTTCATGGAAGAATCCAGACTTGACCTGCAAACAAAATGTAATAAACAAGCTAACATTTAAAATTTTAGCCTTTTTTTTCACTACCAACATTATATTATGTCCAAAGTTCCAAATGTTATAATCAAAGACATATATATATATATGCAAGAGCCTTTAATTGACATAAGAAAACTATTAATATTACCAAGCATTACTAAAATACTTTCAGATTTTAAACAAAAATAAACAAAACATGATGCTTCAGTATGGTATGTGGAGCCTTATTACAGGTAATTTATGACTACCATTAAGTTTTGTGAAAGATTAAGCGTTTCATCATTCCACAGTGTCTGTAATGTGCTGAATACTGAGCATGAGAGAGATGCATATGACTAAATTAGTCATTTGTCCTGTATAAGCACAAAATCTGGGAATGTGAGATGGATATAAACTTAAAATGAAATGAGGTAAAAAAAAATGAGATGCTGAAAAAGCTCTGAAGAAGGAACACGTGCCTCTCTGGAGGAAACAAGAGAAAGTGTCACAGAGAAAGTAAGTTTGGACCTGGATTAAAGCCAAAAGAGGAATGAGCAAGCTATTAAGGAAATCACAAATAAAGTCTGGGAGGAAGATCAACATTCTGGGCACAGGGAAATAATTATCATAGCAAAGTATTATGTCTTACTAGACATTAGAAGAATGAGAAAAGAGGAAAGGGCTCTGCTTTGTTGTCTCAGAGGAACAGGGCTGAGAGGCAGAAATGCTTGAGGAGGTACAATGGCATATTATTCTCAGTCCTACAGTCTGCTTTTTAAAGTATATCTTGGAGCCGAACATGCTGGCACACACCTGTCATCCCAGCATTCGGGAGGCTGAGGCAGTAGGATCACTGAGAGTACAAGGCCAGCCTGGACTACATAGCAAATTTAAGGCCAGCCTGAACTATACAGCAAGACTCTGTCTAAAAAGAAAAGCCTATCTTGGGGGTTCTGCAGACTTTTGGAAATTTTATGGTAGTTGAAAAATGATTAAAATGCTAGACAAAACACATGTGCAATTTTGCTCCCTCTCAAAGCTTCAAAAGCAAAATACCTCACAGTTAGTGTATTTTAAAATTATAAACCCACAATAACAGGGAGAGTAAGAGAAAGATAAAACATGTTTAAAAGCTTGGACCATAGAAAACAGACAGACAAAAGCAAGCTAGCAGATCTGAGAAAGGTGAACTATAGAAAACTGAGAATCATTCCTATTTATACTTAAGAATACTTTAAAAATCACACGAACTAGCAACACTAGGTACTTCTACAACTGAGGGTAAAGTCAAAAGAGATGGCTAACATAAGGAAGATTAGGCTAAACAGTTCTAAAAATCAGTTACATAGGTATCTACACCCTACTCTCCATTCCACACCTTTGCATGATTGCTCCTCTTTTCTCTAAAAATCCAGAGTTTTCTTCTCTGGGGAGAGTAAAAGATAGTATCACTGGACTATGGAAGACGAAGTACAGTTGAGGATGTGACTACCATGTTAAAAACAAAACAATTACGTGAGCGTATGTAGCTGGATGTCTAATTCAGAAATGACCCTCTTCGCTACTTGCTAACAAAATGGTAACCACACCCTTAAATCCAGAAAGGACACTGAAAGATGCTTCTCTGGAGAATATGATCAACCCAAGATAAAAGACTTAGAAATGCCTTTAAAGATGTCCAGTTAATGGTCCACCCAAATATCCTACTATAGTCAAAGTTAACCAGTCCTACACAAGCAATCATCATCTAGTCAGCTTATTTGTCCTTGTGGTGAAAAACATTATGGCCCCTCAAAGATGTTCCCTCCTAATCTCCAAACCTGTCCATATGGTGAGAAAGCACTCCCATCATGGTGTTTGCTCTGTAAGGCACAGTTGACCTTAGGCTAGGGAGACTATCTGGGTGAAACTTTAACCAGTAGATGACTTGAGAAGGATTCAATATGGCCTTGCTGGCTTTTAAGATGGAGTAAGGTGTACATGAAAAACTGAAAAACAGCTTCTAGATGCTGAAAGCAATCTCTAGCTAATAACTAGGAAAGAAACAGGGAATTCAACTTTACAACTATATGGAATTGAATTCTGTCAACCACCTGGATGAGCCGAAAATCAGATTCTACCTCAGAGCTTCAGAAAACAATTAGGCCAAATATTGCCTTGATTATAGGTTGGTGAGATCCTAAGTAGAGAATCATCCAAAGCCCACCACAACTTCTGACTGATATAACTTGCAGATAATAAATATGTAGTTACTATTTTAAGTTATGAAATTTGTTATGCAACATTAGGAAACTAATATAATCAGTATTCAAAATGAGAGTCAAAACATTAAATTTACAGAGTGCTGTGATAATGTTGCATAAACAGAACAAAGAACAAGATGCTTACTCTAAAAAAGGAACATAAAAAATGAAAACAGAAGCCAAGTGTGGTGGTGCATTCCTGTAATCCCAGAACTTGGGAAACTGAGCCAAGAGGATCACTGCAAGTTCAAAGCCAGCCTACAGTACAAAGGAAAGGAAAGGAAAGGAAAGGAAAGGAAAGGAAAGGAAAGGAAAGGAAAGGAAAGGAAAGGAAAGGAAAGGAAAGGAAAGGGAAGGGGAAAGGAAAGAGGAAAGGAAAGAGGAAAGGAAAGAGGAAAGGAAAG